TGCATCTCTCTGTGGTCATTTTGCATCTCTCTGTGGTCACTGTCCATCTCTCTGTGGTCATTTTGCATCTCCCTGTGGTCATTTTGCATCTCTCTGTGGTCACTGTCCATCTCACTGTGGTCATTGTCCATCTCTCTGTGGTCATTTTGCATCTCTCTGTGGTCATTTGTGTGTTTTTGTAGTTTCTCGGTTGTCTTTCCAGCAAAATAATGTTAACGTTACTTCCTCCGGTGGTTTGAGCAGTCGGCCCTTACAGTAATCCATCAGCAGCCACACCCACAGTACTGTACCTGCAGTGAATTCTGGGACTTGAAGTTCATCGCTGGTGAGCATTACAATGGCAGATCTTGACATAAAGTCCATTAGAATCAGTGCTAAGGAAAGTTAAAGTCTGCATGTTAACACCGCATTTACACCGATTCATTTTTATTAGAGTGTTCTTATTGTCTCTGTGATGGATCGTGTTCCTGCTCTGCTCATACATGCTGCATTCCTCCGTCCAGCACAACACACACACACACTCACCTGACATACCTGAGCCAGTCCAGACGTGTGGGTGTGAGGAGGGAGAGCGACATGTTAAAACTTGGAGGCTTCACCTTACTTCTTCACATGAGTCAGTGGTAACACCTCACAGTACTGCTACACTGTTAAAGCATGTACTATTACTGCTAACTCACGATCCAGAGTGAATGTAGTTTAGTTTCTGTAGCTGTGGCAGTAGTACTAACGACAGTTTAAGTTGCTGTACTAGTAGTGGATGTAGTAACTTTAGCAGTAGCTGCAGTAGCTTCAGCTTTAGTCGTGGTATCTGCTGCAGTATTTGCGGCTGTACTGGTAGTACTACAGCTACCAGCAGTGGCACTATCTTAAACTGTGTTAGTAGTTAAGCAGTAGCCTAGTAGCAGTACTAGAGGTATCATCAGCAGCAGTTGGTGTAGACGGAGTACAGGTAGCAGTAATAGTCGCAGTAGTTGTTGCAGTATGTGCAGTAGAGTCCTTCATATCTTCCATTTAAAAAAAAAAAACACGTTATTATTGTAATATTTTACAGCAGCAGCCTCAGGGTGATTTGGAGCATTCTGATTAGATGATTCTTCAGTTTTGTGACCTTTGACCCTGGAGAGCGGAGGAATTTAAAACATGCAGGGCCATCAATCTGGTCTGGTGTGTGTGTGTGTGTGTGTGTGTGTGTGTGAGAGGGAGAAGCAGAAAAGGTGTGGTGAGTCAAACTGGCAAGTTTATACAAGCTACCATCTACAGTATGCATACCCTGGGGAAACACACACACACACACACACACGCACCCATGCAATCTGCATTAACAGCACACACACATTCTCTGTTTTTGTCTTTGGTGACAGGAAGTACAAACTCAAACCAAACCCCATTTGCACTTTGATCCTTTTCAGTAAGACTGGAGTCTGACAAGAACCGGGACAAACTGTGAGAAGAAATGCTCCGCTGAGTCTCTGTCACGTCTGACCAAACTCCAGGGTCAGTTTAGTTTTATGTCACATTTCTAGAACACTCTGAATGTGTCCCATTAACACAGAGTGGCAGCATCAATGAGCTCAACTCTGCAACACATAAAATCTTTAATCGATCTCAGACTTGTCATAAAATCTACAAAAACCTGATGAGATTCTGCACTGAAGGATGCAGCTACATTCAGACTGTGGTTTTCTCTCTTCTTCACGTCTTACTGCAGTTTCAGCGCACACAGTAGGTGGAGGTATCTTTGTAGCACTGCTGTCCCCAGCAGCATACACAGTCACTGCAGCACTAGTGCTAGCTGTAGCAGTAGTTGTTATAGTAGTGAAGTTAGCAGTAGCTGTAGTTGCAGTGGTAGGACCTTTAGCAGTTATTGGCTGCACCAGTAGTAGGGGTAAGCTAGGCTAACGGTTTCCATTTGCTCCCAGTCGTTGTGCTAAGCTAGACTAATATTTCCCCCTGCCTCCTGTCTTTGTGCTAGGCTAGGCTAAACATGTCCTTGTCATGTATGTGGCCTTTGAGAGGAGTTCAGCTGCCATTTTATGGAGGCTAAAGAATGTCAACGAGAGCAGAGGAAGTGCTGAATATCACACACACACTCACACACACTCACAAACACTTCCTCTGTAACGGTGAACTTTTCTGAGTCAAGTCGAAAGAAGTGGAGGCGAGCGAGATAAGAGGAAGTGGTGTCTTTGCTGCAACATGAACGAATATCAAGTGTGTGTGTGTCCTTATAAGGCAAAGCAGAGCAGACATGAGTCTAATGTGTGTAGCTGTGATCGCACACACACACACACACACACACACACACACACACACACAACCACACGTCGCACACAGTTTTATCGTGATGTTCACACATCTTAATGAACTGTTTTTGTGTTTTTAAACCACAGAGACGCTGCACGTCGTCTAAACAGATCACGCCTTTTTCCTGTCACAACCTCCACTTCCTGTTCAGACAACTGCAGGCCTGAGACAGACACACACACACACACATGCACGCACGCACGCACGCACACACACTGATGTCTTTCCATAACCAACAGAGATGGATAATTTTCACACTTTCACTCTAGTTTTCTCTTTAAGATGTGCACCACTGAAATTAATCCCCAGAGAAAAATCTTCTCTAAAGACAACAGGAAGTATTTCAGACTAAAAGTAGGAAGTGTAAATGTGTCATCTGCACAGTTTCAGTGGGCTGCTTTCTGCTCAAAACTTCCTAAAATACACAAATGAACATCAGATCTGTTCCTTAATTTTCACCTATATAGAAGAGTTTACTGTAGAAATTCAGATATGTCTTTCATGTCATTTAAAATTCATCTTTAATATATGTTTATGTATGTCTTTCTTTATCTGGTATCATCCCCTTAATAACACTTTAACTCCTATTAATTAGGAGATTAGGATTTAGTTTTACTGGACGACACTTTTGTTCACTGGGCTGTCCACATACTTTTGACCACATGCTGTAACACTGACGCCTCCTGTTGGATACGTGCAGCTACAACATGTGGATCAAACCAGTCAGATATGAACATAAGGTCATTAAACACTCAGCTGGTCTCCATGGAAACATTAACATTCATTCTGTTTCCTGTTTCTGTTTCATATCAAAGTTAACTCAGTATTTGATAAATATTAAGTATATTAAATGTTTAACATTTTCTGCTGTGACAAAACTTCTGAAGCACTTTTTTTGGTAGTTTAGTACTTCCTGCTCTGTGTAGAATATTCACCACTTCAATAACCTCAAACAGGTTTTCAGATAAAGTCAAGGTATTTTTAAAAAAAATCAGGATATTTTGAGAAAAAGTAATATTTCAAGAACAAAGTGTTATTTCAGAGAGAAAAGTTGGAGTATCATAGGAATATGTTGAGTTTTAGTATCGTCACTAAAAACGTTGTTTTGAGAAACAGCTGAAATATTTCAAGAATTAGTTTGATACAAGAAAAATGTATTTGAAGGAAAAATCAACACAATGATAATATTTTGAGTGAAAAAGAAAAAAAATTCTAGATTGCAGTTTTGAGTAAAATAAATGAGAATATTTTGAATGTTGAGTTATTGTAATTTTAAGTCACAATATTGTGAGAACAATGTGATAAAATTAGAAAAAATATATGTTACAAATATGTGAATTTAAAGAATAAGTTGTAATGCAAGAAAAAAAATATAAAAAAATATATATTTTTTAAATATATTGAAAAATGTAATATGAGAAAGACTCATATTTGTAATAAATAATATTTAGAGAAATAATACAGGAACAAGGTTGAAACACTTAAAGAATAATGTGATAAGAAAATTAATATGTCAAAAAATACTTGTAATATTTTGAGAATTAAAATGTTTGAAATTCACAAAGAGACACAAACAACAAAGTGAGGCTCAGATAATGTTTAATTATCCATCTTTCACTGGTTGTAACCATGGTTACCCAGCAATCCCATGTTGCCGTGTGTCTGGCCGGGAGGGAGGGGAGGGGAGGGTCATGACATTACAAATAAGACTTATTATTAATTATCATTATTAACTACTGAAAACATCACTGAATTATGTTTGGACTATATTTTACATTCTTTTCTTTACAAAAAGAACTTACAACACAGAATGTGTGTGTGTGTGTGTGTGTGTGTGTGTGTGTGTGTGTTTGTAACTAGGTACAGTCCTGGTTTAACACTGACTCTCACTGAGCTTCATTCAAAATGCTGGCTGCGTGTGTGCTTATGGCAGTGTGTGTTGCAGTGTGTGTTCCTGTGTGTGTGTGTGTGTGTGTGTGTGTCAGCGGTCGAGGACGTGGGTCTTGTAGAGGCGGTTCATCTGCTCGAGGAAGATGAAGGTGAGAACTGTGTGAGGACCGAGCCGAGCGTAGTATGGCGTGAAACCTTTCCACAGAGAGAAGAAACCCTCGTTTTTCACCACTCGCAGCAACACCTCCTGATGGACCGAGACAGGAAATGACACGTCAGCACACCGAGCTACATGCTTTTATTCTACAGAGGAAGAAGAACACCGAGCTACATGCTTTTATTCTACAGAGGAAGAAGAACACCGAGCTACATGCTTTTATTCTACAGAGGAAGAAGAACCGAGAGCTACAGGGTTTCCGAGGATGTAGCTGAGATGAAATCATCTGGCATGTTGAGTTAAAATATTTTGAGGCAAAAGTCGTAGTTTATTGAAAACTGTCACGTCATGTTTCTAGAAAAAGGCAGAATATTTAAAAAAAGAATTATGGTGGCCCTGATGTTTAAAATAAATAAATAAATAAAATTAAATAACAAATCTCTATATATTTTATAGAAAATGATAACACGTGTAAAATTTATGAACCTTTTGGGAAAACAATACTAATGTTGCATGTGAGCTAAAGTATTCTGTGTGTTCAGTCACGTTAGTTGCGTCATCAGTGATCGATAACAGACGATAACAAAAGGACAAAGATCAGTGGCTGCATGAACTCATCACTAGTTTAACCCTTTCATGTCCCTTCAGTGTTGATCCTCTCTCTACGATTCATTTAAAGGGACAGTACCAGGAACTCCCCACACAGGCCCTCAGCCAAAGACTTTAAATAAAGATTCATGTGACTCACCAATCCGTTTTTGTACTCGGGCTTCCCGTCGATCATCCTCATGTTCTGGATCCTGAGAAAAAAATGGAAGGTCAACACT